AAGGGGGCCTGGGGACTCATGAGGCACGTGCCATAAACTGGTCATACGGATCATTACAAACCAAATGCACACCCCTCCTATCCCTTCACCCCCAACTTTCTGGCATGTAAATAAATCCAAGAAGCCTGACTAAACTGGAGTGGGGACAGGTCAGATGTGAATAAGTGAATGGGGCTGCTTACTGATCTGACAAGATGGGACCATTTTCTTGTTTAAAAAGTGTTCAGAGGACAGGGACATGAGTCAAGGTGAAAGGAGCACCTTTCAAGTAAAAAATAAAAGGCACTTCATTAAACACAAAGCATTCATTGTTTTTTTAACAAGTACCCAAAACGACTGCTTTTCAAAATTTTTACTTAAAGAATGAATCTATATATGCATGGGATCTGCCCACATAGAATGGAAATATTTTGATTAAGTATCTGTTTGATCATTTCCAGTGTGATGTATGATTTCTAAATATACTGCTTTAGAACACTGTCAAGACAACGCAAATAAAAGGTCATATGAATTACTTTTTCAGACATCACTTTGCTTAGGGGAAATCTTGTTTCCAATGAGCTCAGTGAGATGGGTGGGCAAAGAGGACCGGGAGAATGGCAGGAGACCCGCATCCTCCCCAAGGTGGTAAATAGTCAAAACCACACACAGTTTTAAACGGAAACTCTTCACGCTGCTGACTGAGGCCATGACTTCTGAGCGGACGGAGAAGCGGCACAGTGTATTAGACCACACTCTCTCTCTTTACTTAGCCGAAGAGTAAGGAAGCACTGCAGCAGGAGACAGAACGGTACAGAAGGTGAGAGCCTGTTAACTAAATGGTCATGAGCAGAAGAAACTCTTTGGTGCTGAAAAAGAACACCAGGCCAGGTACAGGAGCTCTGGCAATGAGGACAGCACTCAGTGCCAGGGTGGGCGGTGGGAGCAGCCTGCAGGGGAGAGCAATGGGGCACTCTGCCCGCACCTCGACCGTGCCCACAGCCCCGTCGGTAAAGCCTGGTTCTGGCCACGCTGAACAATCGGAACTTAGACGAGACTTCCTGAAATTGAGGCTGTGTTCCCTGGCTTCCAGATGAAAGGGGAGCCCACCAACGGAGAGGAAAGAACACAGATCAGGTAAAGAATTACTCAGAATAAGAGGCCCGTGGTCTCTTGGATACAACACCGGCAGCACAAGCAACAAAAGAAAAAAAATGCATAAACTGAACTTCATCAAAATTAATGTTTGAACTATTGAGAAAGCAAAAAATCCACAGAATGGGAAAAATATTTGCAAATAATATAGCTGATAAGAGATTTATGTCCAAAATATATAAAGAATCCTTACAAGTCAATAATAAAGAGACAAGTGACCCAATTAAAAAAATGGATAAGAGATTTAAATATTTCTCCAAAGATATGTAAATAAATGACTAACAGGCACATAAAAAGATGCTCAACATCATTAATCATCAGGGAAATGCAAATCAAAACCAAAATTAAGATATCACTTCACGCACAATATGATGGCTATAATAAAAAATATGGATAATAACAAATGTTGGCAAGTATGCAGAGAAATTGAAATCCTCATACATTGCTAGGGGGAATGTAAAATGGTGCAGCTGCTGTGGAAAACGTTCTGGAAGTTCCTCAAAAGGTTAAATACAGTCACTATATGACACAGCAATTCCACTCCTAGGTATGTACCAAAAAGAATTAAAAACATGTGTCCACACAAAAACCTGTACGTGAATGTTCATAGCAGCATTATTCCTAACAGCCAAAAAGTGTGGACAACCAAAATATCCGTCAACTGAAGAATGGACAAAATGCCATCCACGCAGTGGAACAGTACTGGCCATAAGAAGAAACAGAGTGCTGATGCATGACATCACGCGAAAAACGTCACACTAAATGCAAGAAGTATGACACAAAAGGTAACATTTTGGAAGATACCACTGATACGAAGTGTCCGAACAGGCACATCCATAAAGACAGGGAGCAGATTAGCAGTTGCCAGGGCCGGCGGATGGGGAGGAGGATGGAGAGTGACTGATAACGGTTCGGGTGTCCTCCGTCCTGGCATCAGACAGCAACGAGGGCAGCATGACGCTGTAAGTATACTAATACCCGACAGAGTATACGTTTTTGAAGGGTGAATTTTATGAAATGTTAATTGTATCTCAATAAAGCAGTTATTTTTTTTTAAACTAGCTGAATTGGAAACATCGCCATGAATTGAAGGCCTTTTAAGTAAAAGGTAACTGTTCTGCTCTGCTGTTAGGCAGGTCAGAGCCCCGGGGGTCACCTGCTCGGCCTACACAAGCACCCCCAGTGCCTGGGTCTTGGACTCTGATACCATTCTCCTCTCTGCTAAGAAGAACCAGATCTCCCTGGAGGAGCAGCCAATTCACGTTGTAGGGCAGAGAGAATTAAGAACCAGGGACATCTTACTGTCAAATAAGAAAACAGAGGTACTTTCACAGCCACCCTGGGGACAGAACTTAAAAAGAGAATGAGGTTAGCTTACAGAAAGGGTTCTAGTGGCCAGGCAGTGGCATTCTGAGCTTCAAAAAGAAAACAACGTCATCAATGGAACAATTCCAAGACATGGCCCAAAGTGGAAATTATATAGAATATACTACAGAAGTCATAGCTACTGGTTTGTCCCTAATCTCTCATAAAAAAAAAAGGAAATGAGAAAATGACAAATCATTCAATTGGTAAAAGAATACAGAATACTATGATTTGTTTTACTAATACTTTCCCCTGAGTAAGTGGATTACATAGTTATTATAGTAATAATGACTCTAGCTTGTTTTGATTTCTCTAGGAAATAGATGAGACATTTTATGAAGATAAAAAATGTGCTGAAATGATACCAAAAGAGCATTAGAATTCAGTAATAGCCTCCAGTGGGCTGGAGTTGGAGTCTGTTTAGAATGTCATACCCAGGACACTGTGCTGTGGTTCACTTAGAAGCTGCCCTCTGCTATGCATCGGGCTGTTTTATGCCAGTTATTTACATCTAGTGAAAAGGGCCATAGCTAAAACAGCGGGGGTAGGGGATGCAGGAGGGGAGAATATAAACATCTCCACCAGAAGGACTTTCCGGGTCTGAGGGCAGCCTGACTCTGAAGGCCGGGAGCGTCCCTGAGGAGCACTCAGAGCGTCCCTGGAGAGCACTCATGGCTCTGGCGACGCTGCCCTACAGCCGGAGCACGCTGTGCCCTGCTAACTTATGGCATAGTCTCCTTTAGTTTTCATACCCTTTGCCACTAAACAAACTTTACAGCTCACAACTGTGCCTACTGGAGTCTTCCTGTCAATCTCATCACCAACCCTAGGGGCAGCCAGGCTGGTAAACAAAGGCCAGTCCACACCTCGATCATAAAAAGTAAAGGGCTCGGATTTAACAGGTAATGGGAAGCCGTCTGAAGGGCTTTAAGCAGGGGCATAACCAGATCTAATTCATGTTTTTAAAAGAGATCTGGCTACTGTGAAGACAGGGAACTGGAGAGAGTTAGAGCTTAGAGACGTGATGGAGACATGATGAGGAAGCTTTCTGGATCCAGCAGGATGCTGAACTTGGCTTCTAGAGAACCCTCCCATGAGAAACATGCTTGGTAAAATATAGTAAAAGCTATTTTAAAACACAGCCAAGCTCTAAAGAAAATACAAAGAAGAAATAAAGGGAACCCCTTGAGTGTTAGAATTAAAAAGAGGACATTCAGCAGAAGTGGGTAAGCACACAGCTGATGCTGTAAAAGGTCTGCAGGCCCCTTGGAATGGGATTTCAACATCTGCTGCAGGAGATGCAATTCTGGGTCTCACACTCTGTGGAAGTGAGACATGAGTTCCCCATATAAAGGCAGGGCCCTGGAAAAGTCGCCTCCTTTCTATAAGAGGGTTGGAAAACTCTGCCCACCAGCCCATGAGAGCAGCAAGAAAGTCTGTTTCCGCTTAAGCTTTGGGTGGAAAATCACAACCCTAAAACTATGCTATTTATTGATGTATCTGAATTTACACTCTCTATGTGCTACAGAAATTCCAAACTAAGGAATACAAAAAACTAGTCCTATAGCAGTGAACTCCTGCGGTATCCAACAGAAGCGTACACAAAAATTGCTCTGTAGGGACAAATTTAGAATCCAGAATGCTTGGGACGCCTACAGAAAACAATCAGTCTGGCTAAAGATAAGCTCGTGGTAAAAATGCATGAGCCATGTTAAGCCACAATCTAACATAAAGGAGAATCAGTGTCACCCCAAAGAAACTGAAATAATACAAGACTCTGAAAGAGACTTTAAAATTATTTTCTAAGTAAAAAAATAGAAGCCAAGATGAAAGAACAGGACACTATGAAAAAGAGATGACGGTGGCCGGGACCATGTGGCTACAGTGAAGATGGTGAGACAAATGAATTCATTTTTGAAAAGACAGCTTACAGGATCTGCTGATTAGCTGGACATGGAAGAACCAAGAACTCCTATCTTTTGCATAAGCAAACAGGTGGATGCTATGCCGTTTACTGAGTGAAAAAGACTAAAAGAGGAAGAGCAAAAAGGTGGGCTCACATGCTCAGCGGGGGACGGGACGCCTGCTATACCTCCAGGCAGAGATGCCTCGTAGGAGGTTAACTATTCAAATCTAGAGCTTAGGTCAGAACGCGGGACTAGAGGTGTCAATTTAGGCATCAGCAGCAGGCAGGTGATATTTGAAACCTTGTAGATTACCATCTGTCATTCTTCAGGATGTAACCTCAGAGTTACCTCCTGTGAGGTCTTAAACCTCAGAGTAACCTGTATTTCTCTTACACACTCTGTGACTTTATTTACCTGTCTCACATTTATCCTAAACACCTAGCCCAGTGCAGGGCACACAACCAGAAGTCAGTATGTTTGCTTGGTTCTTGGATGAATGACTAACTATTCTGAGGTTCTAAATGCTGGCCCCTGGCACAGTGTCTTGAAGGAGTGGACACCCCAACATATTACTGAATGAATAGGTGATCTAACCTTCTGAGCTGCTAGACTCTGACTGCTTTCGCTCAGAGCCAAAGATGTAAAATACTGGATACACTCATCCAGCTCCGTTTGAGGTAAAGAAGCCAGCAGGTGTCTTAGCTCTTCTTCAATGGTAGAATCCTGAAATAAAAGGAAAGAAATCCTTCCTGATTAAGCTCGACAACTGAGCACGACAACAAAAAGTACACAAAGAATCAAAGCCCAAAAAGCAACAAGAAAAACCCCAGATAAATTAGTGCTTTTAGTCTTCAAAAGTCACCACCACCCCCAGGCAGACAGAGGATCATTTAGTTTTGAATTTTATACTTTCATGTCTTCTACCTTTCAAATTGAAAGACCTATTGCAAAGTACAGCTCAAGATTTTCACCTCATAGGCTACTTCACATCTTGACTCAAAATCAGTTATTACATTCTTTTTAACTAAAGTCAGCTTTTAAAATCCAGAACTTGCTACTGATTTTCCCTAGTATCTTACCTCCAGCATATTTGTTTTCTATTTTTCAAAAACTGATAGCAACTTTTCAGATTTTCATTTCCTAGTCTAGGAAAGGTACTCAAGAAACATGCTCAAACACTGATGTTAGTGGTTAGCAACTGATATCTGTGTGTATTAATATACTAATAACTATATACAGTGCTTCTCCAGCTACTGTTTTGCACCCCAGGAAACATTTAGCAATATCTGGAGATGTTTTTGGTTGTCACGACTTGGGGCTGCCACTGGCATCTAGGGAGCAGAGGCTGGGGATGCTGTTAAAACGCCCTACAATGCACAGGACAGCTTCCAACAACAAAGAATTATTTGGCCCCAAGTGTCAATAGTGTTGAAGTTGAGGAAAACTGATCTAACAGCAACCTGGGAACAAGGGAACAATTCATGGAGGCTATGAAGTCACCCTCTGGTGTACGAGACTCTCGGTCCCCAAAAGGGGAAAATAACATGAGAGACTCAGCATCTCCTAAGGAATCAAGAAACCTTTGTACGGAAAATACAATTTCAGGTATACAACGTTTACCTGCTTGTGAAAGGTAGCCAACAAACTACTTTTTGAATATTTATTTTATGCCCAAAGTGAAGATTGTATGTCACACTTTTTTCACTCACTGGATTATCTGCTTTACTTACTTCTTTTAAAGATGGCAAACGAGGTGGTCGGAGGAAAAAGCGAAGATCACTCTCTTTGCTTCGTGCCAAACCAATAAGAGTTCTCAGATCACAGGCTTGGGCAATCGTCCTGTACTGGTAATCTATTGTCAAAGTATATTGTCAGCACCCAAATGAGCTTGGAAATTGTTTCAAGGATTAAATGAACACGCTACTTGAAAGCACTCTAACTTTTAAATTACGAGTTTACAATTCAAGATTTCTCAAGTATTTTTTTTACAACTACAATATCAATAAGCTAAATATCCAACATTTCCATATCTGATCTCACAATTCTCAACATTTACCTGGGTACATCAGGGGCTAGCTAATATTTTTGAAAAGATGAAACTCAAATGTGAAAACTAATGTCAGAATCAATTTAACTCCTCCTTTTGTAAAATAACCCTAGTGTTCAAAAGCTGTTGTCGTCACTACTCCAAACGCCTGAGGCTGCATGTAGGCCCATTCCCTGGCGACAGTATGCTGCTTCGGAATTCCGTGATGTCCATGAGACGTCTGCGGTTCCAGACGGGGGGACTTTGTTTTTGCCTCCATGATTGAACCACTCCACTCTTTATGTATTGCTATAGAACGAATGTTTGGGTCACCCCAAAATCCACATGATCAAACCTAATCCCCAATGTCATGATATTTAGAGGAAGGGCCTTTGGGAGGTGATTAGGTCATGATGGCAGACATTGCGTGAATGGGATTAGAACCCTTATAAAAGAGACCTCAGAGAGACCCAGTGTCCCTTCCGTCACACAAGGACACAAAGAAAAGATGGCCAGTTATGAAACAGCAAGCAGGTCCTCGACAGACACCACATCTGTTGGCACTTTGATCTTGCATTTCTAGCCTCTAGAACTGAGAAATAAATTTCTGTTGTTCATATGCTACCCAGCCTGTGGTATTTTGTTATAGTGGCCCAAGGAGACTAAGACATGTATCCAATCAAAACTCTAATCACTGACGCGGACATTCTTTTTAATAACGGCAGCTCATAACCTGGGCAAGTTCTTCAAGATCAAGTGGGGAACTTTTCGAAATATATATGCCTGGGCTCCAATCCTGATTTTCGTGACACAGTAAGTCTGAAATGGAGTCCCGGGAGGCAGATTTTGAAAAAGATTTTTATTCTAAGTCTAACATTAAAAAAGTTTTTATTTATGTTATAAGTTATTATAATTATGGCCGCCAATCAATCAAATAACTTGTATGGAGGCAGAGATCTTATTCTGAGACTTTTCTTGAGAACATTTTTCTAGTTTTTTACCCATTTTTATGACTCTACTAACAAAGTGTACGTTAGTCTCCGTACTAAAATCGAAGCAGATCTGAGCTCTTGATCATGTATTTTTACTGAGTTTTAGATAAAATTAAGTATTTTAAATACCCCTGAAAAGTGATATATGCACACAAATCAGATACATCTGACTGATTATTAATATCAGACCCAAGTCAGATTGTCAAGTGAAAGCAAATATAAGATGCAGCAAGCAATTAAAATATATTTCATTAAATAGGAACCAAAGAAAACGCAAACACAACATTAGGCCATAACAGAATCCAGAGTTCCTTCCAAGCGTCTCTCTAACCGAGCGAAACTCTGTTCTGGGACAAAGTCGCACAAACGTACCTGCCGCAGCCTGAGGCTGCTCTTACCACACACGTCTGGTCACCAGGCCAGCTGGCTTTCACTGGGGTTTCTTTTTCTAATTTCCGGAAGTCTTTTTAACATATTTAAAGATTGCCTGAATTCTTTCCCTTCTTTAATGCCTCATTCCCTTCTCTTCTACATCAGAAACGGCGCGTGGCGCGCTGGGCTGGCGGGCTCACCGTGCCAGTGCCGAGCCGCCAGCATCTCCTGCACCGCCTGCATCCGGGCCGCTCTGTCGTCCGACCTGCTCTTCTGCAGCAGCAGCCACACCGCACACTCGTGGTCCTCCAGGTCGACTGTGCTGAACGTGTCTGCAAGAGAAAGAGAGGCAGCATGGCCACTGTGGACACACCGTTTATTTAGTGTGGTAATTTACAAGTATTTGAAAATCTATTATAGGAGAGTTCAATCTATTTCCAGGTATTGATAAGAAGTGATAGTTTATTCTCAGCTGTCATTTCTTTTAATATTTATTCTGTGTAGTATCTATGTGCTTTTGTTCTATATACTATCTTGCTTCTACTATGTGTTTTGTTGGGGTTTTTTTGCTTTTTCTCTACCACAGCTCTATCACAACTGTTATTTTGCCATATTTGCTCAATCTATATGCCTGAGTCTACATTTTTTTCTAAACTACATGAAAGGAAATTGCAGAAATAATGACTTTCACCTTTCATAGTTCATCCTGCGTCTCCTAAGAATAAGCCTGCGTTCACCTATATAATCACAATGCCATAACACCCAAGAACACTAACAAAAACCTTCCAAATCATCTAAAATCCAATCTAACTCCATATTCGAATTTCTCCAATAGTCTCCAAAATATCTTTGTTTTTTTAAAACCAGATTTAATTAAATCTCTTTGCTCTCTCCTAATTCTAGAAAGCGTTCCCACCCTTTCTTTTTTATGCCAACTTTAGAGGTCTGGTAAGCTCTTTTCTGGCTTTCCTGCCTGTGAGATCTACATGTTTCATGCAATATTCTCATTATGAGAAAGCATTACTACTAATAATAAAATATCTAAAAAAAAAATTCCTCTAACAAATTTTAAATTTTGAAGTGGGCATATTTCATTTCAATATTTATTTACAAATAGCTAACAAACAACCACGAAAGAAGAAAACTGTCCAAGGCATTAAGCCCTTAAAATTAAATATAGCAAGAGAATACTGTTACTTAATTTTCCAAAGCCATAATAAATGTTAATGAAAAATATCTCAGGTAGATCATCAAATGACTTTCTGTTTACTGATAAAGATTCCCAGTTAAATGTTGGATACTTACCGGCAAACGGACCCTGTAGTATCTTGGCTGACGTTGCCAGTACTTTCCTTACTGCTTTGTGAAGCTCTTTTCTTGCCTGGTAGAGGATTCCTAAAGTGATTACAATTTAAATAAAACTAAGTAGGTACTCTTCATGCTAAGCCCCAATACTTCAAAGAGAAATCTCAAAAAGAAAATATAAAATAGCATCTTTTTGTTATTGTCACTATCAAAGCAACTAAAACCATATGGGAAAAAGTAAAAAACAAAAAACACTAACCAAAGCTAACAAAAATCCTCATACACAACATAGGATTAGCTACATTCAGGAAAATGTCCCTTAAAAATAGTCCCTATATTTACTAGTTAAATCGTAAGCTATAAAAACTACTTGTGTAATAGAAACTGTAACACCATAAAAGCATGTTGAAATACAGCAAGGTGAAATAATAATAAACACAACAGGAGAGCGATGAGATCTACAGCTCGGAGGCGGGGAGCAGCAGAACCTGCCTCGCTCAAGGATCAGAATGTGCTAACAGGCACGGGTATAACATGCAGCTCTGCGTGGTGACTCGCCAGACTGCCCTTAATGAAAAGATACGCCTCTGCGCTAAAATTTCATGATCACCAAGCAATTGTCTGATTCCTAATTAGGTTTCCATGAGACTAACAACAAAGAATATTGTGACTAGTAAAAACAGGTTTTCCAGCCTCTATGACAGATTTTTTCCCTCTGTAAATAAGTTGGTGTTCATATTTACGAACCCATCTCATGAGTTTAGTGTGCATGAATAAATCCCTGATATCAGAAATATCTCCGAGCTAAGTGAAGAAATCATGTTTTTATGCTGGCCAAACTGAGTGCCAGGTGTGGACTCTGAGTTTAGACTAGAACAGCTGGCTGGCCTTCGCTTAATTACAGGAGAGCTGCAAACTCGGGTTAAACACGGAAGTGTGAAATTTGGGCTTCAATTAATTCTTTAGGGGCTTGGTTCTCACACGGTTTGGTGATTATCTTAGAATCAGCTGAACCTATCTTATTAACACTGTGTTTTAAATATTCATTCCTAAAATTCAGTAACTAGCTTCCATTTTTTCACAAAGATGAAAATACTTCACTATAAACTTACCATGATTTTCTCTTTTATCTATAGGAACTGTGTTCACATAAATGTATGACTTCATTTTTTCTCTCTCTACCACTTGACTGTCTAGTGTCAAAGACTTCTTCAGGGCCAGAGCCTCATAGGTAAGAAATAATGAACCTCTTAAAAAGAAATAAAAAATTCACCATAAATATATGATCGAAATGTAACACAAGAGTCACTTGTAATCTTTTCATAGTGAACATTTCTTCATTGGGAAACATAATATGTATACAGTAATGTGCATATACCATATTACATTTGTATGTATGTGCAAAATATATGTACAAAGGCAAACACACATTTCAGTTTAACAAATAAAAATAAAAAGCTACAGCTACATTTACCCAGGCAAAAAACAGAACTTTTAACAGTACCCCAGAGCCCATAGTATGTCCCCCCCATCCCCCGGTCCTGACCCATTACCTCATCTCTACAGCTAATTATTATTCTGACTTTTATCACAGTAATACCCCTGCTTTTCTTTATAGTTTAGCATCCACACATCCTTAAACAAGAGCTTAGTTTGTCTGCCTGTGAACTTCACAGGAATGGACTCACACCAGACGTATTCTTCAGTTCAGACCTGTTTGTGAGAGCCATCAGCGCTGTGAACGAATCCAGAGTCCGTGCATTTGTATTTTCATACGGTACGTGAATCATCCACTGAACGGATGCACATCGACTTATTTCTCCATTCTACCACAGGCGGGCATTTAGAGAATTGCTAGTTTCAGTCTATTACAGACGACACTGTTACACATCTCATACATCTATACTGTACACACAGGTGTTTGTGTTCCTCTAGAGTACATATCTAGAATTACAGACTTCCTGACAGCATATATATTGTTCAACTTCACAACATAATGCCAAACTGTTTTTTCAAAAAGATTAGCCAATTTGTACTCCCATCACCAGCATAAAAGTTCCTCCTCTTCTAAGAGTTATACCTAATGACAATTTTAAAATGTGACATGCAATATTGTTTGCTGTGTACCCCCAAATGAAGGATATTTTTCCTCTCATCAGATTGCCCTGCACACTCCCTAAATCCACACACCAAGGCTGCACTATGTGGATTTAGAGCTTATGAACGTTAGTTACACTAAGCCTTCTCCAGGGCTTCCCACCCCAAAGCAAAACCACATGAGACAAAAAGGCCAGACACTGGCCTTCACCAGAGGAACAGAGAGAAGACTCAAGAGAATCCTCTTCTCTCCAACCTAAATGCCCATCAACAGACGCCTGGATAAAGAAGTCATGATTCGTACATACAATGGAATATTACTCAGCCTTAAAAAAAAAAAAAAATGAAATCCTACCATTTGCAACGACATGGGTGGACCTAGAGGTTATTATGCTGGGCAAAATAAGTCAGAGAAAGGTAAATACCATATGATTTCACTTACATATGGAATCTAAAGAACAAAAAGAACAAACTAATGGAAAGCAGATTCACAAATACAGAGGACAATCTGGTGACAGCCAGAGGGGAGAGGGGTTGGGGCTGGGAGAAAGGGGTGAAGGGTTAAAGAAGTACAAATCAGTAGTCGAGAGATGGTCACGGGGATGGGGAGCACGGCGCGGGGAACGCAGTCAGCAGTGATGTAATGGCTGGGTGGGGGGCCAGAGGGAAGACAGTAATCAGGGGGATCGTTTCATAAACTATGTAAACGTCTAACCAATGCATTATATACTTGAAATTAATACTAATAATAAAATAAAATGCTTAAAAAAAAAAAAAAGAATCCTCTACTCTCTTGGGAATCTACCCAAACAGCCTAAAATCAAAGCAAATGTATTCAAGTATTTTTACCATGCTTTCCATGAAAGACAAAATTCTTTACTAGAAACTGTGTGATTAATTTCTACTCTATTTCTGAATATAACTGTGATATAAATAAATTGTGTTACAAAAGAGTACTCATTTATCTTTTGCCCAGAATAAGTCAAAGGGAAAAATCATCTAAATACATTTTGCCTCACCTTACAATATCATGGAGAAATCTTATATTTGGATAAAATGCCAAATATACCTCCTTTATCATTTTAGCATTTGAGTTGATTGTATATTTATACTAGTGAAAAAGAGTATTATCGACAAAAACACTAAAGCAGTATTAGACATACATTTAACACATATATCCCCTCTAAAAAAGGGGAAAGAAAGAAGAACGAAAAATCAGTTTTGAGAGTCGCTTCATTCATTAAGCCCGCACCTTTAAGATACTTAGCGTGCGGTGGGAGATGGCAATCTCCTGGTTGTCTCAGTTGGCCTCAATTTCCTTTCCTAAGAGTTTTATAATGATTTAAAAATTTTTCAAAACTAATTTAGACTATAGTCCATCTTTATCTTCTTCGCCCACTTTAGAACCTAACGTGATTTTAAGCATGTGAAAGCTAATTAGTGAGTTCCCTGCTGTATCTGTCAACTGCTTTCCTTGAAGCAACAGTGCCAGGTGGGCAGAATCCCCATTATACACTTGGACCCAAGAGAAAACGATATTCAGAAGGTCAAGTAAGTGGACTGACAGAACCCTGAAGTGGTAGAACCAGTGATTACCCAGTGACGAAACCACCTAATTCCGAAACCTATGCCCTTTTCACTACCTGTAAATCACTTCCACTGAGGTTTCAAATAGTTGTATAAGGGTGCCAATTAGTATTCGCAGTTGACACTTACCCTAAAATAAGCGATCCAGTTAACTTTATTATATTTCCTTCAAAAAAGAAAAAAAAAGTCAATGTGATGAATTTTATTTTAAAAATGTAACGGGAAAGAGGCAACACTGTTATGTCTCTACCTACGTCATACATAATTGGATAAAAAGTTATTGATATCTTTCCACAAATAAAATCGGTTGCTATCAACACATGGCTTCTGATCTCCAGATATAAACGAATGTACGAATAAACGCTGGATATAAAAATATAACCAATATCTCATATTCATTCTCATTTCACACTCATTCTCCCCTTCCTCCACCAGCTACTCTGCCCTCCCCCTGCAAATCAGCGAGACCCTAGCTCTGCGGCACTGCTGGTACTGCCAGGCTTCCAGTGCTGCCACTGAATGCGACCCTCAGGGAACTGACCTTCCTTCTGACTCCTTTAGTTCATGACCAATTCAATAAAGGAGATAATTCTTCCCGCCCCTACTAAGACTACAATGTTGAGGGACTATCTGTCAGGTGGAGACACAGTCCCTTTCCAGAGTAACGATGTCATAACTGGTGGTTAAGTATCACGTGGAGACAGCCCTGTTCTAAATACAGGTTACGTGCTACAAGTTTATTTGTAATTTTTCTGTTCAAAACTTGGAAAAACCTTCTTTGCTGTTAAAAAAAAACTAGAGCTCTCTCCTTCTGCCACCCAAGATGCCGAAAGGCCAGGGGAAGGAAGGTGGCCCGCGCCCCTGCTGCTGTGGAAGCAAGAGGCCAGGAAGGTGGCAAATCCATTGTCTGAGGAAACACCCAAGAATTTTGGCATTGGACAGGACATCTGGCCCAAAAGGGACCTCACCCGCTTTGTCAAATGGCCATGCTACACGGGGCTGAAGCAGCAAAGGGCCATTCTCTATAGGCGCCTGAAAGTGACTCCTGCGATGAAGCAGTTCGCCCAGGCCGTGGGCCGCCAGACTCAAGTGCTTAAGCTGGCGCACGGGCACAGTCCAGAGACAACGCAAGGGAAGCAGAGGTTGTTGGCTCAGGCTGAGGAAACAGCTGCCGGCAAAAGGGATGTCCCCATCAGGAGGCCACCTGTCCTTCGAGTGGGAATTAATACTGCCCCCACTTAGGTGGAGAACAAGAAGGCTCGGCTGGTAGTGACTGCACATGACGTGGATCCCATCGCCTGTCCCCACCTGTCCTATGCCGTGAGTCGGGGGTTCCCCACTGCATCATCCAGGGGAAGGCCAGGCTGGGGCTCCTGGTCCACGGGAAGACCTGCGCCACGGCTGCCTTCACAGGGGTTAACCTGGGAGACAGGAAGCGCTGGCTAAGCTGGTGGGGTACCACGAGATCCGCCGTCAACGGGGACGCAGCGTCCTGGGCCCACACTCAGCTTGCACTGCCAAGCTGGAAAAGGTGAAGGCTAAAGAACTGGCCACCAACCGGGGCCAGGTGTACATGTTTGAGTTTTCTGTACGTCGAGGTAATAAAAATTCAACTTCAAAGAAAACGAAACAAAAAAGACTCCCAGTGGCAGACACAGCTAGTTGCCTATCGATACACCTAAGCCCCTTAATCCTGACTAACATAGCCCGATTCCCATCCAGTTCTCACAGCCCTTGGCCGCCAGGGCTGGCTGTACAACACAGCTGTAGTCAGCCACATACAGATGGATGTCTATGGGGAGGGACCCCCCAAATAAAAAGACAATGCCTCAGGAGATGGCTTCGGCCTTTCTGCCTTCTTGATGTCCAGGGATTCAGCAACCGTCTTGTGACCATGACAATAAAGGTAACGGAGCAGGAAGACGAGAGGATTGCTAAACTGCAATTCCTGCCCTGTCTCTATCTTCACTTCCTGTTATGTAGGAAAAATGAAAACCTCATTTAAGCCATGGTACAAGTTTCTGTTACGTGCAAGGAACACAACCTTAACTTCATAGATTACCCATGATGCTTTGGTACTGCGGCCAGCCCACAAAGAATCTACGTTACCTATAATTTGGTGGCAGTATAGAGGTAGCCCTTCGCTCAAGAACACATCTCCCCTCCCTACGGCAATAAGAACTCTCCCCAGCCGACCTCCCTACACATCTAGCAAGGGGGATGAACGTCCCTCCCAAACTCCATGACCTAGTGGCTCCAGTACAGGGAAGAGGACAGTTCCAGATCCGCAGGGATGGGATCAGAAGTTGTGACACAGAGCTTCCTGACCGAGCAACTCCTTTGGGGCGTTTTCACTCTGAGATGGCTTCCCGGACGTCCTCCCCCTCCCCCATCCTGTGGGCCGCAGAGCAGCCAGGTGCCTTCTCTGCTGCTACCTCCGTTACTTCTTACCAGGACGCTTCTTGTCCCCTGGACCCTGGGAACAGAAGAGTCTCACAGCCTTTCCTCCTACCCTAAATTCACTACTTGAGTTTGTTCTGCCAGAAACAAAAGGGGAAAAAGCTCCATTCTCTGTTCCTACTCCTCTTTTTATACTTAAAATACAGAATCACAGCATTTTCTAGATGAAAAGGATCTATCCTCAACACCTATTGTAAAGATCAAAAGGAAGCTCCAGGGAACAGGGACTTTGTGTTATTCAACGCAGGCGTACCTCATTTTATTGTACTTCGCTTTGTTTTTATGTATCGAAGGTAAGAACCTCCACCAGCAAAAAGATTACAACTCGCTGAAGGATCAGATAATGGTTAGCATCCTTTAGTAACAATATTTTTTAATTAAGATATGTACATAGACGCTAACATAATAATACTGCACACTTAACAGATCACAATATAGTGTAAACATAACTTTTATATGCGCTAGGAAACAAAAAAAATTCACGGCTCACTTTACTGCAATATTTGCCTTACTGCAGTGGTCTGTTACTGAGCCCGCAGGACCTCTGAGGCATACCTGTACTGTATCCTCACAGTCTAGGCTAGGAGAGCACCCGGCACAGAGTCGATAATAAATGAATATTTGTGAAATGAATAAAAGATGATCCAGGCCAATCTTCTCCTTTCACAAATAGTAATAAATAAAGTAAATAAAGACTTTCAAATAAAAACAGATTAGTGCTAGATCCTAAGCTCCTGTAAATCAAGCCCATCATCTTCCTTGCTCGCCACTGAATTCGCAGACCCTGATACATGTGCCTGGCTCTGTTTCCTGCAGGAGCTTAATAAGAATGCAGTTAATACTTAAGTCGAGTGCAGCAGGATGAGTGTGAACCTGACAGGAAACACAGGGCAGGGAAAAGACTCCCAAGGAAAAGGAGTATGCATGGCTCTGGGCTTACACATTTGGGGTGGACCATTAGTATAGAAAAGACATACATGAATCTGAGATTTATCATGGGTTACAGTCCACGGGTTAGCACCCTGGAAACAGGCCACTGTTTCTATAAGAAAATATTAAATTGTACTCACTGATATCTTTCCAGTACGTGCTTTTTGGCGGAGAAGTTGAGGTTCCTATTCTTCTGCAACAGATGATACAATAAGCAGCCAGGGACATGCTGTGTATTTAGAACAATTTAGCATCTAATTAAAAACATTTCTTTTGATCATAAGACTATGTCAAAATCACAGTGGATTGTTTACAGAGTTAGATTTTTCAAAACAAGGAAGAAAATTCCAATTAAAAAAAATGTTCTCCCTTTAAAAACTTAAAGCTGACTTATTAGAATAATATTTTGCTAGTACTTTGATTATTCTTCTTCAAACTGTGTCTGATTGTGAACAATGGTTAGTAGGAAACTGGAAAACACAAGATTATTAATCAGAATGTCGATATAGGAATTAAAAATTTTTAACATCTTTTAAAAAACATATACACATATGGGTAGATATTTATATTTACCTCTGATGACTGAAGGCCCTACAGAAATGAAAAGCAGCTCTAAATGGAATATATACTTAGAATCCATTGAAGTACTTAGCTTTTCTTCATCTTCACGATGGTACCCAACATTGTTTAAAATATCTGAAATTTGTTCATTGTTGGCATCCTTTCAAAGAATGGTTGCTCCACCATTTCATCAACTGAGTAAAGATAATCTAACTATGATGCAATGGTTTCTAGCACAACTCGGGATTCTAGAATCAAATCAGATTCTCTTTGGATAAGATACTTTTTTCTTTTTCTTGAGAGACTCATGTGAGAAGTGGTCCTTTGTTTAACATATAAAAATCTTCGAGCAGCTTTATAGAAATGAGTGGCAAATGACTTGGTGTACACTTGTAAGAAATACGTTAGAGTTAACACACAATAAAAAGCTTTTAATTTTTTTCCTGTGTTTCCAATACATCAACTGATGACTAAGCAAACTCGTTTAGGCAAGAGGTAAACTTGTAAAGGTCACTGTTTCTTATTTTCTCACTTGTTTAATGGGTTGCTGCTACTTCTCTATGAGGCATAAGGGCAGTGATAAAAATGATATAAAAATTGCAATGAAGTAGATGCTCATAAAACCAGGGCAGAATACAATGTAAACTACTTTGGGTATAGATTTGCATTTTAGTTACTATATGAAAACTTGACTAAAATACAAACACAGAGCAAAAATACCCTGCTTCTTTCAATCCTCACTCCTACTATGAAGCGATCAACTGCACAACACTGCATTACACAAGTCTTCTTTACTATTAATTCTCTGGCCAAAACAACCTTCATTGTTACCTTAAACGCACCTCCCCAGGCAGGCTTCCCTCCCACCGAGTCCTGGGTATAAATCTGAGAACACCGGAAATACACTTCCTAACCTTATTATCTGGATGTCCTCAGCTGACATCATTGGCCCTCGCAGCTTTCTCCAGAATAAACTCCTCTCTCAGTCTCGATTTCCAGTTCACCTGCTCTCCAGCCTCGACACACCTTCCACCCCTTGCTTTTCCAGGAATGAGCAGCCCGGCACGTGGCTCTACTTCCTTCCTGCTCAGCCTCCACTCGGCGGCATCACTTCGCCCTCCGCCTGCTCCCCCACCACCCTGGGACCCTCCTCTTTCTACGACCCTGCAACCCTAACCTGAAAATGTGCCTTCTCCGTGCCTACACCTGGACAGCCCAAACGTGGGTCTGGGTGAAAGACGATTGGGAGTGGCTTCTCAGAATGATCTTTACTGTCCCTCATTAGGTCTCTCCTCCCCACAACGACTACTTTAAGCAATCCACATACTCTGCCCAGCCTCCTACCCTACCTCCAGCCCTCTCAAATGATCGTGTCTCTTATTTCACTCTGAAAATTAAGACTGAACTCCCTCAACTTCTGCCCCCATACCTACACGCAGGGAGAGATCCAGGTACGAGGGGCTTGACATTTAAGTAGAGGAGGCTCTTAAAACACACACACACACACGCACGCACGCACAAACACACACACACACACACACACCCATAAATATCAAATTAGGTACTAATATGAAAGTTATTCACAATGAGAAAAGATATCACAATAAATGGAGTCTTGGAGTCTACAGCCATGCCACACTGAACGAGCCCGATCCCATCTGATCTCAGAAGCTAAGCAGGGTCGGGCCTGGTTAGTACTTGGATGGGAGACCACCTAGGAAGACCAGGTGCTGTAGGCATAAATAAATAAATAACAAATAAATAAATGGAGTCTTAGAAATTTTGATAACTTTCTTCTGAGAGACCACTAGACAGTGTGTCAGACATGCTTACTTATAAATGCTTCAGGATTACAATGTCCCTCCCTACCTGGGACACTGCAACTCCTAACAATCCAGGGGCCTACCTGTCCTACTAAGACGCCCTAAAGCCCAAGCTTCCTGACTCCGCAGTAAATCTACCCTGGCCTACAAAAAAAGGCATATTTATCCGCATCACCTTTTCCAGATTCCAACTTTCCATCTTTATCTCATTGTCTACCCTGGTTCTGGGGACGAGGCCTCACCCCTTTCTCAAAGGGAGGTGCACCACCTGTTCTAGATCTCATCACTTCACTTCCATGGGGCCCTTGATTCATTATCTATCTGCCTTTCTCTTCTCCATCTTCACACATTCCCTCTCTGACAGCTCCTTCTACTCCTCCCCCCTAAATACTGGATGTTCATTGTTCTCCCATCAAAATACAAAAACAAAATAAAAAACGACTGGAAATAAAAAACCTCTCTCATCCGAGCACCCTCTAGCTATTGCCTCTTCTCTCACTTCCCTTTATAAGATCCTTTTCCCAGCGTCTTCCTCAACACTGAAACAGCACTCCCTAAGGTCGCCAGTGAGTGACATCTTGTTGCTCAATCCACTTTTCAGTCATCTTATTTGCTTTGTCCAAAGCATCTGATGACTCCCTCCTTCTCTTGAGCTACTACGCCGTTTTCTAGCTTTAGCCTTACATCTTTGGCCACTCCGCACCTACTACCTGTCAGAAATGGAAATCTGAGATGTTCTGAATAAGGCAGCACAGCCACACACACACAACCCCCAACAGGCCTTTACTGAGCTTAACGCTGATTCAGCTGCCTCCACCTGGCCTTTAAATACCAGTGTTCCAGTGGCTTCCATCTGCGGTCTTTTCTCTCATGCTCTATCTCTGGCTGAGTATTTTCAGTGTTTTCCTCACGGATCCCTATAAGCTTATGATTCCCAAATCTCTGTAACTAGGTCTCTCTAAGCTTCAGATACATATATTCATCTGCCTAAAGCATATTTCCACTTTAAAGCACCACGAAAACTTAAAACCCAGGATGTCTAAAATCACATCATCATGCCCTTAAAACCAAATATCCCAAGACCATTTATTACTAGACCATGGTTTTCCCATTGATTAGAAATGACTCGTCATACACCAAAGTCATGTCTAGCAAGGGTCCATCACTGGACAGTTTTGTTCCACTGGCCTATTTCTCTACCCCTTCATCTACATGTTCTTAATTCCTATGCCTTTAAGCCTTGATAATTTTTAGAATGAGCGCTCCCACCTCCATTTTCTTCAGGACTATCTCAGCTATTGGGATTTTGACTGTAACTGAACTGAATTTACAGATTAATTGGGGAGAACTGATATCATATAGAGTCTCACCATTCATGAAAAGCAGATCTTCAAGTCGTCTTTTAGATCTTTTGTAATTTTCTTTCAAAGGTCACATGTTTTTTGTTTCTTCCTTTCATGGAAAATTTCAAATGTATACGAATGCAGAGAGAATAACAAAATGAACCCCATCACTTAGCTTCAAAATTGTTCAACACATGGTCAATCTTGTTTCATCTATACTTGCTCTCTCCAACTGGATTTCAGCGGGACAGACATTTCCTGTATCTGTACTAGTGCAAAAATATGCTACTGTGACCTAGGAGCAGAAAATTTTACCTTATTTAATTTTAACTAATTTTAATTTAAATAACTATATATGCGTAGTGGCTATCATACCGAACACTGCCATCTACCCCATAACCCACATTTACTTCCCACCACCACTCCGCTATTTTGAAGCAAATCTAAAATGTCATATCGTGTAACCTATAATTGCTTTAGTCTCTCCTCCCCTCCCCGCCAAAAATTAACTACTGTTATGTCCAAAAAAAAAAAGTATTCCTTAATATCATCAACTATCTAATGAGTGTTTCAATTATATCATAACCTCTTGTTTAACACTACTGGTTTGTTAGAAGCAGGATCTAAACAAGGACCACACACTGTATTTGTGGTAATAATGTGCCTTTTTAGAGATTATTTCTATAGTTATGCTACCTTTATCTGGTTTATTCAGATTTTCTTTCCTTTTCAATGAGCCTTAAAATACCTATTTTTCAAGAATATGGGAATTTAAGTTTCAAAATCATTAGCATAAAGTTGTTCACGTATTCCTGTTTTTTTACCCCTAAAATTGTCTATCATTTTCTATTCTTAGGATTATTTTTTACTTTTCTTTTTTACTTTTGCGCTTCTAGAAGTTTATTAGTAGAAAAAATGGTTTAATTTTTTATCATCTGTTGGTTTTGTCTATCATGTTTTGTTTTCCAGTTTTGCTCTAATTTTCTTCCTTCTTTGGGTTCATGCTGTTCTTTTCCTAACTTCTTCAATAATGCTTAACCTTAGCAGCATGTTTTGTTCTTTCATAAATTCATTTAAGGCTATAAATTGCCATCTAAGTTTTGTTTCACTTAAATTTCACAAATCCTGATCTTTCCACTGTGACTGATTTCCTCCAATCCATGGATTGTTTAGGATTATTTCTAGTTTCCAAACAAAATTTCTAAAGATTACCTTTTCATTGTGCTGTATGACATAGATTCTTTAAAATTGTAGAGACTTACTTTGTTACCTGGTTGCAACTAATATTTATAAGTCTACCCTATATTCTTTGTTATGGGCAGAATTTACTATAGCCATTGTATCAAGCTTGTTACTTGTGTTGTTAAAAGTTTCTGTACCCTTACTAATTTTTGTCTGCACAATCTACCAGTACCTGACAGAAGTTTTTTAAAATTTTCATGCCCGCTTGTGCATGTCAACTTCCCCTTGTAGCTGTCCATTTCTTCTTTAAATTGTTTATT